TTCATGTAAATTCAGATACTATTAACAAATAAAAATTTTAATTTTATTTATGTATATTTAGTAGTACGTACACAATTATTTTTTATATTGAGTCAGAATTGAGCAAAAGTGAAAAAATTAACATTGTAATTATTAACTATTTATTAATTATTTTTTAAACCGAAATAGTATTCAATAGCAATTGTTTAATAAACACTATGTATATATGATTTGAAAGTAAAAATTAATTATTTTGTTTAAATTTATTACAATATTACTCTATTAAATCAAAAATATGCTGTGACATAGGGTAAATTAATTTTCATTTAAAAGTAATAGTTATGTACTTGAATGGTTTAAGTACTTATACTAAGTACTTTTGAAAAAATTTTTTCTTTTTTAAAATATATATATTTTTGAATGAATCGCCTGTCCTATTCTTTATTTAATTTTTTAAATAATTTAGTTAAAAAAGCTGCTTAAAAAATATAGAACTTAATTAGACATCCGAACACTAATTTAATGATTAAATAGAGGATCAGTGATTAATTGATTTTTATAAAATTATTATTATAATCGACACTGTTGTATTTACAAGTACTAATTTAAATATTTACATAATTAAATTTACAATTATAACGAAAATTTTTAATTGTAATAAGCAAAAACATTTGAGTTCCTAATGGTATCAGACCACAAATAAAAACAAAGCCCATAAGGCTACTTGAAATTAGTTTTTATGCGCTTAAAAATAAAGAGAAAAGTAAATATTCTATATTACATAATGTAAAAAAAACAAGTAAGTACAATAAATAAATAAAATTGAATAGTAAATAGAATTAAAGATTGTATGTTTTTGTCGTCACTCTTATGACTGCAACAAAAACAAAAAAATTCAATGTTATATTTTTATAAATTTGTACTAGTAATTTATATATGAATTACAATATATAACTACTTGAATATACTTATGAGTACATAATACATATATGTTTCTATATACATACATGCAGGATTATATATTTATATAAATAAAATTATATAAGCTAGCTATATAATAAAAAATTATTGGGGACATTAGTTATTGATTTTTTATGTTTCTTTCTGTTCTTTTTTTAACATTATCAGAAAATATTGCATCTGTATACAAATTATATTAAAGCATTTTGTATGCAGTTCAGAGATGACCTGCTTTCATTTCAATTGTAACATTTGTTTTGTTTTTTTTTCTACCCTTAGTACTTAATTAACATAATTATAATAAATTTTGTAATGAAAAATTTAAATAAGACATGAATTGTGCTTAATGTTGTTTTGTAAAATAAGTAATAAATTGAAAAATGTTTTAGATTAAAAATTATATGTTGCACAATTTATATTGGAAATTTTATTAATAGAATTAAGTAAGTATGTATTTTTTAATTGTACATTTGACATAGCAATGGAAATTAATCTATAGGGAAATATCAGAATATAAAATATTTTGAAAATTTCAACTTAGAAAGAAAATGAATTTTAATTATGTATTTTGAAATAGAAAAATTTATTATGAAATTTAAAGTTTCTTTGTAGGTATTCTTAAATTTAATCAAAGTTTATTTCATAAATTGTCACTGTAAAATGAGTGAAAATTTTAAAATGAGTATTAAAAGAAGAAGATTAATAGTTAGATTTGTTTAGTTTTTAGTTTTTAAATATGGATAATTAATATTTAACACTAACCTCAGTTTTACTAAAATAGAAATAAATCAGGTAGGTGTTTAAAATTTAATTCTAAAGACTATTCAATTTTAAATTTATACCTTGGTTGTTAACTATCACGTGTAACTAAACGCCCCTTGACATCAGAATTACATCAATATTATATAAATATAGCTATACAAATCAGCCAGTAGCAGTTCTAAATTTTAATGTTCTACTTAATTCATTTTAGACCGCCTATATATACATATACATACATACAAATTCAATTAAAACTAACTCTTAATATACTTAACTAAATAGATAAGTAAATAATTGAAATATTTATAAATACTTATTTATCAATTGTAAATAGTTTCAATTGTTTAATTTGTACTCAGGTGAGTAAAAATTTTCTCTAAATTTTTTTACTTAATCAATAATCTTATAACTCTTAATATAAGAAATTTATAAATAATAAAATTATTGTAAATGATACTTTAAAATATCCCAGAATTATTTTATTTTCAATTTCATAGAATAAAATGCTCGTCAGTATATTTTTGTTGTTCATTAGTATATACACTCATGTATGTTTTTTTTGTATTATTAACTCTCAATTCGCTATAAATGATATTGAAGAACGTAATTATAGGTCACGAAATTCAACCTCTAAAATACACTGTATCATATATTTTATACATATGTATAATATATATAATTATTAACTCTAAGAATGATTAAGTATCGAACAAAAATTAAAACAAAGAAAATAGATTCTAAAGAAAATAGCTAGATATCTCATAAAAAAAAACGAAGAAAATAAAAAAAAAAGCACACTTACTTATTTTCTAGCTTACGAAGAAAAGATTAAAAAGCAAAAACATCCTACAAAATCATACACAAACATATTCAGTGATGGTGATCATAACTTTTTTTTTTTTGAATTTTTTTTTCAAGCATTGAATCATCACAAATTAATCTTGATCCCTATTATTCTTCGATCAAATTCAAGGTTATTTAATAAGAAAGTTTTATAAAATTATTTTCAGAAACGAAAAAAAATGCTAACGAATCATTTTCTATTTGAAAGCACTTCTAACCAGAAAAAAAAAAGCTGGAAGTTTTAATGTTTACGTTTGTATTTATTTAAGTGAGTATTTTATTTCCCTTATTTTATTTTTCTATTTTTTGCTAAACAAACAAAACAATTATTTTTCAAGATTAGAAAAAAGAGTATTTAAAAAAAAAGTTTAATTTTTTTGGAAATGACTCATCTTGAAATAAGAACTTAGGTAGGTACATATACTTAATAAATTTTTAATAACACTTTGAAATTTAAACTAAGTTTTAACCATTAGGCATATTTTTACAAGTATAAAATAATAGGCCGTTTCATAACCGCGATATAATAATAAAAACTTCGTTATATTTGTGTGTTCGAATCAACAAAAGTTGCTTACCTAATTGAATTATAAATTAGTATGATTGGCCCAGTTAAATCATAAACAACTATTTTAAAATCAAAATAGTTTTAATGGCTAAAAATATATTGCATATTCAACAATTTATGTTTTTGAAAACTTTTAGCATTATATTTAAGTAGTTAATGAAAAAAAAACTTCAGATCTTAGTTGTTATGGTTAATTGTTAGACTTATATTTATACATATTTGCCGGCTAACTAAAATTTAAGCAACAGTATTTGCTATTTAGAAGGTAAGTAGGTAAGTACATATGTACATATTGGAATTTCATTTTATTGGGAATTGATCAAAATATTTTTATTAAATAATTCGGTAGAAACCTAGTTACCTTATTAGAGTTAAAACAATCATTAAGTTCTAAGTAATGTAATATAAAATAGAGAAACAAGTAAAATACAACAAAAATAACATCGAATTTTCCAATAACACTAAGTAATTAGTACTTATAGAAAATAAACAAGAATATGATTAACTTTTAATTAAAGAATTTTAATTAATTTTTTTTTGATTCAAAATATTGATATTTTACACTTTATTATTGCATATTTTATGTAAATGAGTAAGTACGTAACATAATTTACTTAATTTTCAACAACATCATGTATGAACTAGTAGGTTTTCAGGTGCAGTAGATTTTCAACAATAGTAAGTATATTAAACAATTTGTAGTCATAATATAATTAATTCATCAATTTGTACTTACTTCACTAATGTGATTAGGTTTACATGCATACTTGTGTATTTTACACAGAAAAATAAAAAAGCTTGTATTCTAATTGAAAAATAAGGTATTGTAGACAGAACATTAAAAATTTCAAGTTGATATCACTATAATTCTAAATTAATAAATGTCTTGTAAATCCCAGGTCATTTAAATTTCAAATTTTAATATTAACATATTTGGAATTATAACCCTTATATAATTATAATAGTTCTTAAACAATAAATTAAATGTTGATAAGCTTAGGTTTTTATGCAGACTGGTAAGAAAATGCTATCAAAAAAACATTTAATACACAAAAACAAACTAAAACAATTAAACTAGAAATATTTTTTTTAAAGAAATTCAATAGTTGATATTACAAAATAAAACTGAAATAAGAAAAATCTTTTTGAAATATAATATAAATCTGCGTATGTACTTACATTTAAGTACGTACGTATATGAAAGATAAATATATTTACAACAACTTGTTTTATAAATTTTTAAATAGCTACATAGATATGTGCAAATGACTACTATTTAATAGCTATTTAAAACAAAAGAAACTATCTCTAGAAGGTAGGTATTTAAGCATACTAAGAAAAATTTATAAGTAAGTATACAGTTAAAAGACTTCCCTTCCTTAAAAAAAACTATTTGAATCTTAAGTCAAACTGAAAAAATATGATGCACATAATTTTATAAGAATTCTTAATTATTTATTAGTTAAAAATTTAGTTTTTTTATCGGAAATCTCTATATACATACGTACAATTAAACTAAAACTTTTAATCTATTTTTTTTCTTATCTTTTTTTTGGCAGATATTTGAAATGAATTACTTAATTGACTAACTAGTTTTCCTTTTTACGTGACTCACAATTCAAACTCGCAATGAACTAAACTGAAACCATAGTAAAGTATCTTACAAGTTTAAAATCTTGTTCATGGTTAAAATAAAGTGAAAACGTAATTTTTTTCTTTTTTCTTTTTTGTTCAAGAAATATCCTACTTTTATATATGCATCTAGTTACGAGTATACAAAAGTACACCCAGTTATTGTAAAAATTATTGTATTTCTATGAATATATTTACTATTGTTAAAATTATTTTAAAAATTATTGTAATTTTATGAATATAGAAAATTACTTACAGTACTCCGGAACATCGAGTGCATACAAATGATCCAATTGTAATGTTGGCATATGTTGGACCTTTTTGACCACAATCAAAACATTGGCGATTACCACCACTTGTTACTAATTCTCTTAAAATTTTTAAATTTGAATCGTCTTGCTTTTTTCGGACAGCCATTTTTCTTTTAATAATATTATTATTTTCTAATTATTTAAAGTTTTTTATACACAGAAATAATTTCTAGAAATAATTTTGCTTTATATGTGTATGTACATATAAAGTTATACGTACTATGTATTCAAAAAAAAAATTTTTTTAAATTCGATTTTAATCAAATTGTGTTAAAAGACCCAAAATACATTTGTTTAATTTTTGCACAATTTAATATAAATATTTTATTCTTAATGTTGTGGGTATATATTTCTGTATGCGTATACAATGCAGAATAAATCGTATTTTTTTTTTTTAATTGAAAAGCTGCTGTAAAACTTTTAGTACCCAATAAAAATGAATCAGCATACCTCTATATATGTTATATGCATTTAAATAAGTACGTTTTTCTTTTTTAAACTTTCACCTAGCCAAAGTGCTAATTTTCCTTTTTTGAATAATTTCTATTTTTTCTTTTATAATAATATTATATTCAATAATTAAAATTTATACACTTAATCAAATATTATTATTCACTATAAAATTTTATAAGGAAAAAAAATTTTTTCGTAATTTAAAATTAAAAAAAAAAATAACAATTCAAGCGAAATTAACTCGCTAATTTTTTAATTTGCATCCGTCATATACCCACTTTACTTTACAATTACACTAAAATTTATTCTTGCAAAGTGCAAACGTCAAAAGCAGACTATTTTCTCTTATTATCAATCAATTGGATTTTCATTTGGATTTTCAAAAAGAACGTAGTTACCAGGTGTTTTTCGTTTTAAATTTTACGTTGAAGTTTTGAACATTTTCAACATTTTTAGTCAAATCACGGTTGACATTTATACAAGGTGAATCACAAAGGTATACATCAACATACACCATTTGTTAGAGGATTGAAAATGGGTAAAACTTTTGTTTTGGGCTGGGTCCCAAATCTCAAGGGTTTCCGAGCTTAAATTTTGCGCAGCTGCTTAAGCTTTAATTTAAACTCTCAAACATTAAAAAAATTTTTATGACATAGAAGATATGAGGCAAAAACCATTCTATGTCAAGATTTTAAAGGCACTATTTTTCACTATTTTTGATTTTTATTTATTTAAGGCGCCGTAATTCTATCAACTATCACTTATTTTGGATGAAATTTTATACAAATTTTTAATTTGAAAAACAAAAATTGATTTTAAAAAATTTGAAATTTTTGAAAAGAAAAACTAAGATTTTGTATTAGGAAAAATAAAAAATAAAATCTAGTAATCAGAAAATTTTTTTTCGAAACTTTTCTTGGTAAAGAAAATTGATAGGTTTTTTATTTTTGCCAGTTTTTATAAGAAATGGTACCTATATGGTTTAAAATTTTTAAATGCATTTTTCTCAGATTGGGTGCAATTTAAAAATTTGAAAAAAATATTTTTAAAATCTAGACACCATTTGGCATCTGAAGTTATTAAAATTATCCAGATGAAACGAAATTTTAAAGGTATGTCATATAAATTTTGACATTTATTTTAATAAAAAAAAATTTTTTTAAATAGAAAAATTTATTTTTTTGGAATAAAATGGAGTTTGTGGTATTTACATTATGAAACTAATAAATAATTAAAAAATAATTTAATGGGGTTAATAAATTTTAAACATATTTCTACAAAAACTAAATTGGCATACGGTTTATGCAACTAAAGAGGTAGGTGTTCCAGTAAAGCAATTGATTTAAAATATGCAATTGAATAGAAATAGATTTGAAAGAAAACCATAAATGTTTGCCGAACTAGGTGAATTTCATAGAAAAATTTGGTGTTTTTTACGAGAAATTTGGAAAATTTTTAGATAAAGGAATATTAAATTGAATTTAATTTTACTTTCATCAACATCTTGTTTGATTTTAATTAATTAAAATGATAATTATGTGGTTTTTAAGTGGTTTTTGTGCTATATTTTCTATACCATAAAAAATTTTTTAATGTTTGAAGAATGTACAAAAAAAAAATTAAGGTTTCAAAAAATTGCTTTCGAAATCATCTAGTTAGAAAAACTGAAAAAATAAAACAAGGGAAAAATTTGATTTGTATACTATACAGATTCAAATAATATTTCTTGAAGTCGACTTGAGTTTGACATTTTAGATCTTTCAATCCGTGTATATGCAGTCGATTTTCAAGTCAAGCTAATAATTTTATCGGATCGTTTACATGAGCTCGAAATCCGCTTAAAATCGACTTCAAGTTGCATATAAACATAATAATATGAATATAATTCCTCTATATTCCTTTATATAATAAATGAAAGATTTATTGTCTGTATTATGTTAGTATAAAAAAAATCGTAGATTGCTGAAGTAAAGAAAATTGATTATAGCAGCTATTTAAGTACTGATTGTTTTTAACTTAAATTGCAGTTATAAAAAAATTAGTTTATACACTATACAATTTTTTTTTTTTTTTTTTCCTTCTTCACTCCTAGGAGGAGTATAGGGCTAGTGCATGATATCTATCATGCCCTAGTTTCTATAGTCATAGAGAGTTAGCTAGGTAGGTGACTAGCCTGCCGTAGTTTTATTTATATTAATTATTTGAGGTTATTAATATTTACTGTTTATTTTTCTTAGTTTTTAGTATCGAATATTATGAATATTTGAAAATTACTTGTTTAATATTTATTAGTATTGCATATTAAGTTATATAATATTGAATATAATTTTTATAGTGACCTGACCGGGGTACATATACAACAACTGACCGGGGGACTATACAACAAAAAATGAATTGTATTAATTCGTACAGTTTATTTAAAAAACCAATTTCATAATTTTAATGAAGAACACCTAATTTTCATGTTCAATTGAATTCAAATTTTTATTTAACTCTTAAGAGAAGAATGGGTTAAAACAAAGACTTCATGAGTGAAGTGAAGCTTTTTTTGAAATAAAATTATAATGAATCGCAATATTTTTTGTAGTTGTTAAATTTGAGGTGCATCTTCACGTCATCATGCTTACAGCTCGATTGTAAATCAGCAACCTGTTAAAATTTTTAATTTTTGAAAACAGGTTTTGCATTACATGTAAATGATCTTTATTATATAAAAAGTAGATCTTTATACTTCTTCGATTCATTCCCGTTATTTCAATATTCTTTTTTACCATTGATTTAAGATAGCAAAACACCACAAATACAATAGCATGATTGATATATTTATTAACCTAAAAATAAGTTCTTACGCTAAATATAAAAATTCCATTTTCAAATGTACAAATGTCTGGAAAATGAACAAAATTTAAAAATAAAATGAACTATAACGACAAATGTATATTAGTATGAAATTGTTAACAAATTATTACTATGTAATAACCAATAACAAAATCAGTAATTGTATTTAAAAAATAAGGCCTAGTACTAATAATAACAATTATAGTAACTAGAACAAGCGGTTATATAATATGTTAATATACTAATATCCGTGATATATAATATGGTAGCCAATGGGAATAGGGTATGTAGTTACCTACCTAAACATGCTTAAAAGGTACATGATAAATGATGCGGTCAAAATGACCAAAAGTACAAGCTTAAAGTAAATTTAGTTCTAAAGAATAGTAGTAAGAAATATGTATGTTAATTTAAATATGTCCCTCTTGAAATATTTTTTTGTTTTTAATTTCTTCTCTATGTTTATAAGTTATTTCTAGAAATTTTAAATATTCTTCGTCAACTTCTTCGATAGTTTCACATTCGTGAATGTCAATGTCATAATTTTCGCCTTCGCTACTACTAGTTTCATACTCCACTTTTTCATCTTCATTCCTTAAAGAGTTAATTTGAATATTTTGCCCTTTTATGATATGTTTGTACTCATCTAATTGTTTTTGTAATTCATTGTTTTTATTTTTTAGATTGAAAGCTAGATTTTTCCAGTAATGCATTTGATAAAAATTATGCCAATTTATACAACTCTCATAAGTTTTTCTCCATAATACAGCAGCAGCCTTGGTATTAGTGGTGTTTTGCATTTTATTTCCTGCAGCAGCGGACCCTAAAGAATTTTGAACCCAAATTGAATTTCTCCGAAATATTTTTCTGTTTCTAATCCTTCTTTTAGATTTTGTTGACTTTATTTTTTTCCATTTATTGCTGGCATTGTTAACCATAACGCAACTCTTAAATTAGTAAATATTTAGGTAGGAGGACTTCTTGAAGCTCGTTAACGTCAAGTCAACTAATACTGATTGTATATTTATAATACGACTGTCAGTTGACAAATATTTTAGTTCTGTCAAGATTAATTTTATATGTATAGGAAAATCCATATACAATAATTATACAAACATAAAAAACTAGTTTTACAATATCGCACATTTCAAAGCAAACATACCAACTGCATTACCGACATCAGTAAGTTTCAAATAAAAATAAAACCCAAGAAACTAAATGATATTAACAATAAGTAATGCCGAATGAAAATATCATATTCTTACCTTGTAATCCATGAATACAATTAAAATATTGTTTAAACACTTATTTAAATTCAAACTTAGTAAAATTTAAATTGTTGAAAATAAAATTTTTAGCTCTTTTATAGACATTTTTTGTGTTGCTAAATTTTTTTTAATTAACATATTTCAATAAACTTCCTTTCTGAAAATTCTAATTGACTTAAGCATATACAACCATCAAAGTATTACTATCAAGATCCATCAAAGTATAATAATTATTTTTACAAGTACATTTATGTCGTTGGAACTGTCAATATTTTTAAATTACAAAAACTTGCACTAAGTTTCAGGAAGCAGAGAAAAAAACTTATTTTGGTCTGTTATCGTAATATATACTTCTAATTACATTTTATTTGCTATGAGCTAAAATTTTAAGGAATTAATGCAAACATTCATAATTTGCGGTTTCCTCATAACAAAACGTCTAATTCTTTGAATTGCCTTAGAAGTGTGTGCAAAAAAAGTTAATCAAAACAAATTAATATGGCATTGCTGGAAAAATGAAGTATTTTGGCATTATTTAGTGTCAGAAAACGAATTCAGAAAAATGACTTTTGATGGCTGAATTGCGGAAAAATCTTATTTTGTAAATAAACTTAGTAGGATTCTAGTTATAAATATTCGTATTGATTGGTCAGGTTTATCATAATGAAAATTACAGCACTATTACACAAACATGTCTTGATCGGTAGGTATTTTACATTATTTTTTTGAAAGAGACAATTTTCTTGTATATCTTTTATATTAAATTGAACCTTATTATTACATAAGTTAAAATTTTACCCTTTCAGGAGGAGGTAGTGGTTTTATTGGTCGAAATCTTTCTAAGCTGTTGAAGTCTAAGAATTATGAAGTTACCGTAGTGTCACGTATGCCCGGTACAAACAGAATAACTTGGCTCGATATACAAAGTAAAGGGATACCAGAAAAAATAACAAGTGTAGTGAATCTAGCAGGTCAGAATGTTCTAGACCCTAAACGTAGGTGGACTCCTGGGTAAGATGGTATAAGTGCAAAATTTATATATTGCCAGTATTTTTAAATTTTTAGTTTTAAACAAAATGTATGGAACTCTCGAGTTAATTCAACAAGAATATTAGCAGAAGAAATAATAAAAAGTAAACGAAACTTGGATGCTTTCATAAATATATCTGGAGTTAGCTTATATAAACCAAGTTCATCCAAAACTTATAACGAAAACCATCTTGGCGAAAGTTTTGACTTTATGTCAAAGCTGTGTATTGAGTGGGAAAAGGCTGCCACTATACCGGAAAATGAAAATTGTCGATCGGTAATAAGTTTTGAGTAAAAATTCTTAAAGAATTGTCATTTTAGTTCTTAGATTAAATTAAGAACCGGGGTTGTATTAGGTCCCGGTGGAGGAATGATTGAATCTATATGGATGCCTTTTGTTTTTGGGCTTGGTGGTCCAATGGGAAATGGCGACCAATATTTGCCGTGGATTCACATGGATGATTTATGTAATTTAATATTGTATTGCATAGAAAACAAAAATGTTAAAGGAATACTAAACGGTGTGGCCCCACAAATTGTTACAAATGGCGAATTTTCCAAAGTACAAAAAATTTTTTTGGTTGATGAGATCTTCAAAAATTTTCTTATAGATATTTGCGTCATGTTTGAAACGTCCAGCTCTGATACCATTTCCTGAGTTTGCTGTTAAATTAATATTTGGTAAAGATCGCTCAGCTCTTTTATTAACTGGTGCAAAAATTGAACCAAAATTAACTATCGAGTCTGGATTTAAATATGGTTTTCCTATTGTAAAAGGAGCTTGTGAAGATATTATTAAAAAAGTAAGAGGTAAATAAAGAACAAATCCATGTATTAGATAATTTTTCAGATTTCTATGTTATTTGTAAGAAAATATGTAAAAAATTTTGTATATTTAATTATTTATAAAAATCGCAATTAATGAAGGCGTAGTGTTTTCTTGCTTTTTTTATCCTGTCAGATTTTGATCCATATCTATTGGATATCATTAGATATTAATAATTAATAGATATTGTTTAATAACAGAATAGCTTAAAAATAAGAAGTTTTATTATTAAACCGTAATAGGATTTGGGTTGATGAGTATAAGCTAACAATGTTAAATTTAATTATTCAGTTTATTGAGTTGGATAAACAGTAAGCACTTTTCACTTAATAAAGTTATAAAATTGATTCCACAGGACATTCCAAGAACTTCACTATTCGAGTCTAAAGTAATTAAGCTTTGTTTTCCAAGGGAAATTTGGGGACCATTGCGATTTCTCAAATTATTTGCTGTTTCATATTTCGATTTATAAATAAATACGTGCCTAAATGGTTCTGAAATTACAGAATAGCCCATATCTGGAGCACAATCAACATATTTTTTCTGTTGCTTTGATGCTTGAACATAACCAAAGGCATGCAAATTACCCTCATGACGTAAAGCCCATTCTTCGGGTTTCAGAGGATTATAATGTTGAAGCCACAATGAAGCATCTACATCTGTTCTGGTAGCAATAGCCGCTGGGAATCCTGGTCTTAAAACTGTTGAAAATAAAGGTGGATTATTTCCAAGAGGAACTTGATGAGTCACTTCTTTTAGTTCCAAATTAATGCGATAAATATAATATTCATCATCCGAATTAAAAGCCACATCACAATCTTCTAACGGGGTCTCCAAATTTACAGTTGGTTTATTGTCCATTTCCAGGTTCTGTGCTGTATCTTGCGTTACTTTAGAATCATTTTCCATCAAGTATGGCCACATTGTACAATCTTTTTTCATTAATGTAATTTGAAGGGATCCATTTTCCTAAATCGAAAGAAAAAAAGTATAATATATAAGCACTTACGTGCCAATAAAATAAATTCCATTACATACTATAGCCCACGTAGTTAATTCAGGATCGATTTGTTGACATAGATTTTGTTTATTAAGAAGATATTCATCATAATGTAGAACGGATATCGTCTTGTCAGTGCATATCACCTTCAAATTATTTTTATTTTCATACTCTACATCTTTAAATGAAATTACTACATCGTCTTCTGATTGAGACCATTCATAATTATTATTTATTTCATTTGAATCTTCTTTTGTTTCCACATGTTTTTCCTTCGAATCCTCTTTTTCATTTTCTTCTTTCTCTTTTGATTCATTAGATTGAAAAGTAATGTTTTTATTAGAACAAATAACGATAGATGCTGATTTTGGTTCAAAAGCACAGTAATGAATTAAATCACTTCCAAGCAACACATCTTCCAGCTTCCAACTCCATACATTTTCTGTTTGTTCTGGTTTTTCGAAGAGTTTACCCCAATGAATTTGATTTATATTTTTTGAACCACATTTTTCAATGTGCTGAAACGCACAATTGATCACTTTCTTTCCATCAAAAACATCTAATCTGGCATCTTTCAAAACAAAACCTTCGAAATTTTCATTGATTTTGTGTGAAGAAAGGAGCTTCCATTCTGTAACTTTGTACCGATCTGAAGTATCAAATAATTGTAACATATTAAAACCGTCACATAATACACAATATTTTTCAGAAATAAATTTAAATGAAAAATTGTATCGTGTTAGCTCTGGAGTTTGCTGCTCAGAGAATTTATATACTACTTTTAAAGGACTTGGTCTGCCGGTACTTTCTTTATAGCTTGCGCAATATATCAATGAGCCATCACCGCCAACAAAATATGAATGTTCCCTAGAAAAATATAGCAAAATATTTTTATTCAAAATTAGATATGTATGTGTACATAAAAGTTTAATTTAATCAAAGTGCTTATACCGGTTCCATGGGTCTTGCACGAGAAAATTTTGCAGTGAAAACAATTCAGTGTGTAAAAACGAATACTGATCAACTGGAATTTTGCGAACATATGGATGTTGATTTATTTCCAAGTCCACTTTTATTACTGGAACACTTTCTAACGACAGCTTGTACCCATCAAAATTTGTTTTTATTAAAGATCTATTAGTTTTTAATTCGACAATTTTAACCATTTTCCGAATTCAAATTTTAAATATCAACAAGTCTTTTATGCTTATCCAAAGACAATGATTACTCGTAGTATTTTACGAGCGTTAACTGACAAGATATGATTAAAAAATATTATTTTAAAGGTATGTATTGGATTTACACATTGGAAATGTCATTTCGTTATTTGTTATATGAAACATATGCCGACCATATACCGATATTGCTGACGAAGAATGGGGATAATATTGTTGAAAGGATTGCCAGCCACAAAGAAAAATAAATATTGAATTGAATAATCTCAATGTTTTTTTTAAACCTTTAGAATACAACATTGCAAGTTCGATGATTTGACTAATTTTATATATTTCATTTATAAAATACTTATCAATGATTTTTTGCCATTTTATGCATAAATTGTAATAAGGTTATAAGTTTTAAGATTAATTGACAATAATGTTAAAATTTTATAGAAAAATGAATAAAACAAACAATATTGAAAATTAGACATTCATTTCGTAATGTAAACGCAATATGATAATGGTACTGTACAGTCTTTTTAGTTTACATTATACATTTGTAACTCTAATGGTGGTCCTTCATAAAATTAAAAATCGTTTTTGTCGCTTCATCTGTTTTCACGTTTCATGTGTGTTGCTTCAATATTTCTGCAAACTGCAGGTACATGTATATGTATACAAAAAAGGTAATCTCATTTTGCTTTAATTTTTGAATTTCGTATATCTGGCCAGACCTTACTAATCGACAATAATAAAACACATAAAAAATTTAAACAGTATGAAAAAATGAATATGAAATTATTTTATGTAAATTATTGTTTTAAGCATCTATTTATAGGTATTTATACCTAAAGAAACATTTTTAAAGAACTAATATTGTGCAAATTAAAAATTTTAACGTTCCAGATATTTTTAATTTTTAAATTTTTTGGTTTTAACTTTTTTAAGCTTTTCTTTTAGTGATTTTATATCAATTTTATACGAATTTTGTTTAGATGATGTTTTGGACTTTTCTTCAGGAGGGATAAAATCTTTGTTACGTCTTTCTTCCTGTTTCTTAACCGATTCAGCTTGCTTTTCCTTTAACTCCTTATTCTTTTTGATGCGCTTTTGTTCTTTTGTAAGGAAATATTCTCCAGATGCCAATTGTTTGTCGATTTTGCTCTCAGGTTGCGGTGGTGGGAATGGTGTATATTCACCTTTAATCTTTTTCTTTTTAGGTTGTTTTCGTTTACTAATGTTTTTGCTCTTAAAATTTGGTAAAAACCGTGACCAATTCTCATTTGCTAATTTTGGATCTCTTAGAAGTTCTCTTTTTATCATAAGTGCTTTTATATTATAAATAGGATGCACATTTTGCATAGTATCAATGACAATTTCACGGACCTGTTGAAGGCCTTTATATGGTCCTAAAGCAGACACCGTATTTCCCTGTACTAAAACATAACAATCTGTTAAAAGCTCAATAGATTTCAGAGTTGCACCATTTGGACCAATTAAACGTTGTCTTCTTTTAACAAATTTTTCTTTTTTTCTTACTAAATTTCCTATTTTTATAATATCGCACCCTATTTCGTCTTCAAGAACGCGCTTTGCTTGTTCATAAGGCACACTCCTTGCAAGTAGTTTAATCATATCTCGACTTTTAATTATTATATATGGATCCCAAGTCTTGCGAGAAGTTTTTACCAACATACTTCCTTCAACTAAATCTAATTCACATTTAACATGATGCTCTTCTAGTGTTTTTTGAACAAGGGGCCAAACTTCTTTCAAATATTTTTCACGATACTTCGGAAATAGTGTTGCAAAAGAGCTTTCTTCAATAAGGCCGTTTGGATTATGTTCAGGTTTAAACTCTGGTAATTTTAAAGACCAAGCGTTGTCAACAGGATCAGTTGTATTAACACTTTTTTCATCATTTTCCGTTCCATCCATTTTGAACCAATTTTGACTCTTACAGTCTTTAAGAAAGCTGCAATATTATTTCTATAATATGTTTTTAAAACTTGAATAGCAAACACATGTATTAAGATAAGAACCTAATTTTATTTCTATAATAGACTAACATTTATGTGACGGTTTAAATGTCAAATCAAAAATGTTTTTTAATATTAGATATCGACAGGGTTGTTTTGAATGTCTAAAAAATTATACGGAAAGTGATTAAGGAAATGAGATTTGGAGGAGAATTAAAATATTTTAAATGGAAGGAATTAGGTCTTTTTATGACATAAGCACTTAAAAAATTAATCAGATTTATTTTTGGATAATGTCCAAGTACTTGTCAAAGTTAATTAAACTTATTGAAATATTAAATAATAATTTCTGCTGAAAAAGATATGTGCGTTTACGAGACAAATTTAAAATTTTAAAATTATTATGTTTTACTAAAGCAATATAAAAAATAATTTCTAAATTATAAAATATCTTCTCGATTACGTTCCAATTGGCTACGATGACGTTCCAAAATCAGATTCGTTAAAAATGGCGGCTGTCGTCAATTTTGAAGCAAACCATGTAATTTTTTAGACAAAGATTTATAGTCAGCTGTCAAAACCTGTAATATTGTTGACGCATTTATTTATCCTCGACGACGTAAACCAAGATATATTTTTGTATTTCATTAGCAAAATAAACTAAGATGTTAGATCCTCCAGAATCAGAAAGTTCAATTGTTCCGGTTCACAATGGCAGAGGAAAGTCAAGTGAATTATCATTAGAGTCGCAAAATAGTGATACTTCTATAAATGGACAGGGACAGGTAGAATATTATGGTAACTTTTATTACCTTTGAAAAATTTCAACTCTTAATTTTAGGTATTGTGTACACATGATGGGATATTGCTAAAGAAAGCTACGGCGGAATTTATAACTGATATTAATAATAGTGGCTCACTAAATCTAGTAGAATATACAACCCCACACAAGCACTTGACGATCGAGTGGCGACCTGATGAAAATATTTTCATAGAAGCGGATGATGACAGTCAATGGGCCTTAATTGATACCATATCAAAAAGAGAAAGAACTTTATCGGAAAGTAAAGTCTTTAACTCAAAATTGGAAAATACAAATGTTAAAATTCGGTGTTTTCGTACTGACATTGAGGAGCTAAGGTCAATTGAAGTGTTGTCTAGAGGGCAGAAAATTAGATTTATCAGATTAGATGGAACTATTCAAAGCGAATACTTTTTCCAAAATGGAAACGCCGAAAATTTTGTAAAAACACTTCAACATTTACATATTCTCACTCCAAGTCAACATAACAAAAGGGAATATATTGTTTTGAATCTTGAAGCACAAAAATTAAAGAAAACTTTTGCAGAATTAAAGATTGATGATATAAAAAACGCACAGCCGGGGTCAGGTGGGTGGTTTCAAAACAAACTTGTAGACTTTTTGGTAAAAGTTCCTGATTATGTAGCACCACAGCCTTTAACTCGCAATGTGCGAGTGATTCCGAAACCAGATGAATATGAAGTATTAGATGAAGATAACAGCTCTAATACAAAATCAAATGATCAAGAAATAACAGAATTTAATGATAAAACGCCAAAAGTTGAAAGAGTTTTACCTGAGAGGAAAATGATTGAACGAGGTCAGTATTTTTTATTTGAACGCTATTGTCTGAACTAATGAAGATTTTAGGTTCCCCCTTAACGGAAAAGCAATGGAGAGAGTTTCAAACGGAAGATGGCAGAATATCGGATCCAACCCGTATAAAAGAAGCTATATTTCGTGGTGGAGTTGATAAGAATATAAGATGCGAAGTTTGGAAGTATTTATTAAATTATTACGATTGGGATGATACGACTGTCGCAAAAGTTTCAAGAAAAGAGAAGAAACGAAAAGAATATTATCAAATGAAAGCTCAATGGCTCTCCATTTCAGTTACTCAAGAAAAAAACTTTACAGGATATCGTGATCGAAAATGTCAAATAGAAAAAGATGTAAAAAGAACCGATCGAACACAAGAATTTTTTTCTGGTGAAAAAAATCCAAACATAGGCTTGCTTCAAGATATTTTAATGACATACGTAATGTATAATTTTGATTTAGGATATGTTCAAGGAATGAGCGATTTGTTAGCCCCGATTCTATCGATTCAACAAAATGAAGTAGATGCTTTCTGGTGTTTCGTAGGATTTATGGATTTAGTGTATTCTAATTTTGATGTCGATCAGGCCGGAATGAAAAAACAATTAAGCAACTTAAATACATTACTTCAGTTTTGCGATGAAGAATTATTTGAATATTTAAAAGAGCATGGTTCTGATAATATGTACTTTTGTTTTAGATGGCTTCTTGTGTGGTATAAAAGAGAATTTTCTAATGATGATATTTTAGAATTATGGGAATGCTTATGGACTCGTTTACCATGTCCCAATTTTCATCTTTTAGTTGGTATAGCAATACTAGATCAACAAAAAAATACTATAATCGGAAATGAGTATGAGTTTAATGAAATTCTGAAATGTATAAATGAACTTTCAATGAAAATAAGTTTAAAACCTACTTTAAAGTTAGCAGAAGCTATATATGGTCAAATAAAGGAATCAAAAGATTTAACTAACGAAATTCGAGTTATTATTGGAGAAGATATAGTACCAGTTGATTGTAATCTTGAAGATGATTGTGATGGCGGTGATAGCAAGGAGCAAGAATTCGATGATAGCTTCGGTCAATTTGATGTAAGAGAATTATCTCCTGAAGAAGAAAGAACCCGCCAGGAGAAATTTGAAGAAGCTTGTGATCAGTCAATGTATCTTTCATTTCTTTGAATTGATTTTTTTAAGTTACTAATGAACGGTAATTTCATAACCAAAGCCTTTATTAAATACAGTTAGATTAAAATGAAATTGTAGTACGATATTTATTATTACTAAAATTTATATACTAAATTACTACTAAAATTATATTTAATATCAGATTAATATTGTAAGAAGTAAAAACATAGTCTTTCAAACTCTTTGAATTTTACAGGAAAGAAATAAAAGAAAATTTTTTTTTTAAATATTTAATAATAATAATAATAATAATAATAATAAGAAAATTAAAATAAGTTTTAGTAAATCGTACTATTATTTTAAAGTGTATAATAATAGATTTTTTTTATATAAATATGTAATTTGCAGTCACTTTAAATGTCAATTTAAAAGTAAAACGAAATTAAATCTATTATAAAAATTTTTTGATAAGTTGGAATTTAGAAATTTAAATTCTACGTTAAGCATACACAATTTTATTTGAAATTTTAGATAAAAAATTGCTTTCTGTTGTTATTAATAAAATTTATGAATAAGAATAAAAAAGAATGCGTCAAATAATTTTTCAAGAACTGTTTGAATTTTTGTATTTCAGTTTTAAAGAAAACAATAGTCTCTTCACATCTAATAATTGCAAGTAAAACAATTTTCATATTATATAATAGAATTCAAGATTTTTATTTTAAAATAATAAAGTTCTAAATACAAAAAGTAAAATAATGTGGCGGGTATAATGAAGATTTGTATTTAAAATTTAAGAATGTATTTAAAAATTAGAAATAGTTCGTATCTAATATTAGGCAAATGTCTACTAAAGAATTTAAAAAGAAAATTTTTTTAAGATTTTTCACTTTAAAATTACATAGATTACAAAAGATATAAAATACATTGTGAAAATGTCTATGTTATTTAGTCATCTTATTGAAAATTTATCTACTTCATTTGCACTTTCAATATGAATATTGAAAAGCATTTATTTTGGCATAAACGCCAATATTACATATAAGATTATATTAATTTTTCATTTGAATGAAATATTTTTACCTTTACTAGGCATTCAATTAATTTTTAATATGAGGAATAAAAAACACAAATCTATTTAGAAAGTAATTAAAATACGCAAAGTAATTGAAAACTTTTCAATATATACCACAAGTAGAGCAAGATATTTGGGTTACATAGTAGAGATATGTAAGCAGAAAATATAATTAAGTATCTTAACCTCTTTAGCTTTCCAAAGTGTGTACCTTTTAAATTCGTTTTTATGACATAATGATTGGTATAGCGATATAAAAGGTAATTTATATTGTGATATAGAAATTAATTTATTGACTAGTAGTTTTCAAATTCTTGTTTTTTTTTTTTTGGAGATTTTCTGCTTTAAATTCGGAAAACAAATACTTTCAGAAAATTTAGCATATATATTGCTTTTCTTTATAAATATTTACCAAGAGAGCTATAAAGAAGAAGAAAATGCTTAAAAATTTAATAAATAAGAAAAATTGTGATTTTAGAATGTATTTGTTTTTATTTGTTATGAAAAAAAAGAAAGAAAATTATTTATTTTTTTTTTTTTAACAGAAACATTTTTTTATTTTGTTTTATGAATGTTTTTCTTTTAAATCATTTTTTAGCAAATTCTAAAATTTGATTTTTACAATTTTAAGAGTATTTTTTTTTTTAATTTTTTTTTTGTTTTTTTTTTTTTTTTAAATGGATTAATAAAAAAGGTGATAATTTTTATCATTTTAATAAAAAGTAATTTGTTATTAAATATTTTAATAATTTAGCTAAATTGTTTTTTGCTTAACTTATTTAATATTTTGTTTTACATTTTTCATTTAGTTTTTTTTTTTTTTTCATTTTTAGCTAATATTTTTTTTTCTTTTGAACAAAGGTTTTAACAAAAATCTAAAAGGTTTATACAGAATTTTTTTTTTTCACTACAAATATGGACGAGAAATTATTAGGTACTAAAATTTAGTATTTATATGTATATAAAAATATTCAAATTATTACAAAAGATATAAAATTGAAAAAATAAAGGAACAGAACTTAGAATGTAAAAAATTTCAAATTTGAATTTAAATGCGAGTATTATAAGAATACAAAATAAAATTGTAGAATTTTATATAATTATATTAATTTGAAAATTTAAGAAATTATTAAGAATTAAAATATTCTTTTCATTTAAAAAATTTATAATAACATTAAAATGTGGAATTTTTTCATATACATTGCATTTTATCAATATTTTTTAATATTCTGTTATTTGAACTTAAAAGATTGGATGCTGGGGATGTAGAATTTCTCGTATATATTTATAGTGTTTTCCTTTTTTTTTTTTTTATTTTCTTCAATTATTTTTAATTCAGTATTCTAAATATTTTATTTTCTTTTTTATTTTTCCTATTTATTTTATTAAATTATAATATCCAGTGCTTTACGACATATTCTATTTAATTTCTTATATTTGTAATTTTTCATATATAAATATATTTTAGATGCATATATTTATATATAATTTTGTAAATTATAATAATATATAAATATTTTTATTTTTATGGTAATTAAATGTATACATATGTATATATATAAATATATTTATTATATATACATATTATACATATTATTTTTTATATTACAAGATCAAAATTATCCATTTCAGGTATAATTTTGAATAATTTAATATTTTTAAAAATTGAAATTTTCTACTTAAAAGAATTTCGGCTATATTATATTAAAATATAAAAAATAAAATAAAATAGTATTAAAAATGTAATAATGTAATTAATTTCTTGAAACAACTAGTTATTCAACAGAATGAATAAATTTAAATTTTATGTTTTGCCTTCAATTATAGGAAAAAATTGTATTATTGGAAATGATTTACAAGTTATTAAAATAGAAAAAAAAACAATAAACCTTATGTTAATATGTTTGATTAATATTGATTTATGGAAATTTGTATTTCTTTATGAAATGATACAGTGTTAAAAAAATGAATTTCATTTTCCGAAAAATTAAAAATCTTTTATATAAAATAGTAAGTAAAAAAAATTAGGCTTTTAAGAGGAATAAAGTACATTTGCCTTTATTATTCTTCGAAAATTCTGAAATATTTTTTTTTTCAAATCTTTAATTGAAATAAAGAAACGAGCTTGCAAAAATTTTATTTTATTAATTTTAATATTTAAAATATTCTTTTGTTTCTTGAAATATTTTATGTTTTTTTATTGCATACCATATTTATATTATTGTTATTAATTTATTTTTATTATTTATTATTTTCATTCATATGTAAGGAATCTGGTTTCCCTATTAAAACGACAAAATACAAAATTAAACCAATTAAAAATGAAAAATTAAAAAGATAATTGTCATTATATACCTATTTTTAAATTATTTTTTTTTATATTTATAAATTTTAAATAAATTTTTTTTTTTCGATTTTTCATTACAATTTTTTTCAATCAGATTTAAGGTTTTAAAGCTTTCGAAAAAAAAAGCGAATTCGTCATTATCATTTTATATAAAATTTATTATGTTATATGCACATAATCATTTTTGTAACTATTTATGTATGTGTAAGTATTATGATTATCATTATGTATAAAGTTGTTTTAATTTTAATTTTAAAATATTAAAAATATGAATATGATGACAAATATAATATTGGAAAAATTTTTTATTCAATATTCAAAACAAAATTTTCATTTCTTTCAATTGTCTTTATAAAATAAAACCATATGCAATATTTTAAAAGTATAATTATTATTCTTTCATAGTCAGAGTGTTATTTAGATTTTATAAGATTATTTACTTGTAGTAAAATAATTTTAGAAAAAAATCTATATTATTATAAAAATGTCGATATCGCTATTATCGATGTTTTCGATTTTGATTTTCTAACTGCATATCCTATATTGGTTTTCTGTACTCAGCTAAATGACTTTTCAAAATACCCTTTTGATTCTTTATTAAACATTTGACATTTTCAATTTGCATGCAAAATAAAAAAAAAAGAAAATTTTTTTTTGGTCATTTATTATTGTGAATAATACGGAAAAAAATAACTAAAATGGAATTTAAATAATATCCAATTTTAAACAATAAATTAAAAAATACAGATGGATTAACAAAAAATTTTATCTCCATTATTGCAAGATTAAATACAACACTGAAGTTTTTCAATAAAATTTCATATTATACACAGCAGAAGAATCGCAAATTACTTCTGATGCATTTTTTAAGTGATGCTGTCAGCGTTTACCTTTTTTAAAACATCATATTTAAACATAAATGTAAATTAATTGTTATAAAAGCTAGCTCTTATTTTTTAGTAACAGGAGGAAGAAATTCTCTTATATATAGGAACCAATGAAACTTTTTTTATTGTTATATTGTACAATACAAAAATAGTGCATAGTGGATTGAAGGCGGATGATGCTGCATTTGGTTTAACATTAAAATTAATGGTAAATAATATTGCAGCACATAACAAGAAAATATATTACATTAACAATCTGAAACCTTTATAAATTTAGGACGAATGGAATATGCAATAACTTTAATCGTTGCGGAGTGGAATTGTTTTGCAACATAATATGATAAATTGGATTTGTTATATTTTGTAACATCATTCTTCGTAATTTTAAAAATTAACTAAGTTATAGTTTAGTTATACTTGTCCCTTTTTCACATCAATTTTACAAATTTATTAAATATTATTTATTTGTGTAATGTTTTTATATCATAAGTAGTATTTTTATCATAAGTAGTATTAATAATACATATATCATTTCTGAATTCAACTATGTATTAATTTTGGTTTATATAATTAAATTAAATCTATTACATATGGTTTTAAATAATTATATTTTAATAACTTTAATAAAGTTCATATCATCTTTTTAAATTAAAGATCATTAATATCAAATTTTTATTTTAATGATGATTGAAAATTTTAATTATCATAAATAAAAATTGACAAAAAATGTATAAATGAAATAAAAAATTGTTATTATTAAAATTGAATAAAATTTGAGAAATCCATTTATGGAAATTTAAAAAAAAAAGAAGTATGTATATGTTTATGCAAATGTATATTGTATTTTATGTAAGTATATATGTATAGTTTATATAAACTTAAAAAATGAAAGTTTAAAAAATTTATTTCATATTTTTTTTTTTTCATTATTTCAGTTTT